CCTACAGTCTACTGTTCTATCAGCCTCCACAGACTCTGTGTTCATTGTATATATCCTGGAATTTTACCTCCAGTTATCAACCTGGTATTTTTTTCCCAGTAATCAACCTGTCTCACAATGTAAGCCTTCCTTATTTGCTTGGTTTACCTTGGAAAATCTCATTGGTGTACATGTATATAACATTTGTTCTATACTCATACGGCTCAATGTCATCACTTCTATAAGAGAAAATTTCAAAAATTTCAGTTATATCAATATTAAATATTCTATAAACAGTGCATGATTTCACATTGGCAGATATTATGTTTGAATATATGCATTATATATTATACACATATATACAACTATATCTATAAATTCTACTGTTTGTGTGTGTGTGTGTTACTACTGTTTGTGTGTGTGTGTGTGTGTGTGTGTGTGTGTGTATGGATGTCCTGAGCACTAAGGATGGGCAACGGCACTGTTTTCCAGGTGTATGATAAGGGTGCCTGATGATGGCAAACAGGAAAGTACAGTTATGTACACACATGAAATGTGCCAATCTCAATATTTTGTGTGCTTAGTAAAAGTAATTCAAATAAAATGTCTGCATACTTGATTTTTTACATACACATAAAGTCAACAAAATACAATAATATCAGGAAGGGGAAATGGAAATACCCTGGTCAGCATAAGTCTAGGAGGCTCGGTGCTCCTAGTGAATACAGCACAGACATATGCATATTATTTCATGTCTGGATTTTGTAGAACAGAATCAAATTCCATACTATACCATACTATTCATGAGATAGATGTTATAGTTCAGGGTCACCAACACTGAACTGTAGAGGAAAATCTGTTGTAAGATGTGTGTCAGGTGCAGTAACTGAATTAATATATATCAAAAACCCTGAAGTAAAGGGCTACTAAGGGTTGTTAAATTTCCATGTATTGACATGATCAAGACTTCTAAATTAAAATCTGTGTGGAATAATTAGTCAAACATTCTTCTGGGACCAAATGTTTTTTAGAAACTCTGCCAATTCCACCTATCGAGCCAGAATGACAAGATTCAGGGAGTCAATGGGATAAGCAGAAGGGCGAGAACTCCTGTAACCTGTGGACATGTCCATTGGGAAGCGCAGAAAGAAGAGCTCCCTGTGATCCATGGGTTTTACTGTCTATAGCACATCAAACCTAACTCGGGCATGCATTGTGTTCAGGTCATAGGACTACGTGTTTGTGTGAGAACACAGCAAAAGCTAGGCTGATCTTGTAAGGACAATCTCTCAGAGCCTTTTAAAGAAATATCTACATGCATTTTGCAAAGAGGATATCTAGTGCTGTGATCATATGATCTTGTCTTCTGACTAAGAGTAAAGGAAAAATACAATCTAAGTCTTCCAACTGGGCCTGTTCTGCACTACTGCCTAGGGATACCTGGGTTTCACTTACAGAGTTTCACTTCTCAGACCTTCAGGAACTGACGAGTCTTGACACACCACTTTAATTTGTATCACATTCACCTTTCACATGAAACTCTGCGTGTTTTCAAGGATTACTGCATATTAATGAGATTTTAATTCTTATTTTCTCTCTCATTGTAAATACAGTCCCCAGAGTTCACTACAATAGGTATTTAGGAACGGCACGGTGACCAGGTGTTATATATTGGGAATTTTCTAATGATCAAACATCCTTGGGCAATTGACTGGAACATTGAATCTGATTCAAGATATATCAGAGACATTTTCAGAGTGCTTAATTCATAAAATGTGAGTGGACACTCCAGAGTAATAAAGATCCTCTGCAATGAAAAATAGCTGAAAACCTAAAAAAAAAATAAAAGCAGAGAAAAAATAGTGGCATGATGCCTGTGTAGCTGACAGTGAA